AAACACCACATAATAGATATTAAACCAATAAAGCTGAAAAACACGGATCAACGTGAAACTGAAAACTCGAAGAAAACTTAACAGAACCGAGACCGTGACAGCACATGGATGAAAAAGGAAGGGCATCCATTTTAAAAGGTGTGATTCCTTCGTACTTAAAGAAAATAATCTTGTTAATTCATCAACAAAGTAACCCTGGTAATGAAAGAGTGCAGTTGGAAAATACGACCCAATATACTCTCTCTCATGAAGTTATGGAGCCTGTGCAACTGCAGTGACAGGATGAAAACTTATCCCACGGGTTGGGCAATGGTGAGGGTGTGTATGAAAAAAAAGAGGTTAAGCAGGTTTTCAAGATGTGCCAAAAAAAGACTCGGAGTAGGATTGAAACTTTGTCATTGCATGTTGATCTGTTGTGTCACAAAATATAGAACATTATGGACTCTGCTCCCCTTTGATCAGACATTTAATGTCTCCCTCCTATCTTTGTGAAGCTGTAGAGCTCCCTCAGTAAAAAACTGTTTTATCCGATACGCACAAAAGAGCACCTCCACAGATCCTTCCTCTGAACTGCTGTTAGATTCACATAGTTACAACTTTTAAAAAGCTTAATATTTTCAACCATGCTATTAGTTGCATGTACGGTTGGGCACCAGCAATCGATCGGAACTGGTTTTAACCTTCATAATTCTCCTGAAATGATTAATTATTTTCTTAAATTTATGACTCCTAGTTTTGATGCCCGGTCCGCTTACCTTAAATAGAAGCAGCTTAATTTCGGGAACGAAGAATCCACAACAGTGTGTGTGGAACAATCTGTTTATGCTGCTGCATTAGAAAGTGTAGCTTAAATTAAGAAATGACCAGCAGGCTACCTGCAACGATGACAGTGGGATTATATCATGCAAAGGACGGAGCATCACTGACATAATGCACTGGTTCTCTATTTGATGAAAAACTATTCACTCTATTTTAAAGCCACTCACTTGCCTTTCACATGTTAATGTCCACATAGTTAAGAAACTACATATGCTAGTGGCCATTTAGTTTTTCACCTGAACTCAAAGGGTTCTTTTTTCCGCTAAAATCAGGTTTATTGCAGGGTTTTTTATCTTTACGTGAACTAGCTGCTGTTATTTTTATTTTCTTTTTATTTTGAAAATTTCTAAAACATTTTGTTTACCTGAACGTTTTTAAACAAATAACAGGAGAGCATATTTTCTTTTTAGAAGTATTTAAAAAATGTTTCTCTATCCACAGATTTTAGTCTGTGTGAAACTGTAGGCTTTCTTCTGTCTGCTTGTTTTTGCCAAAGTCAAACCTGAAATTCCAACTTTGTTCAAGTAAAGGGGTTCTCTTCTCTTCTCCCCATTTTTTTTTTTATTTTTTTTGTTTGTTTTGCATTTACTCCACAGTACGACAGTAATACAGAAGGTAAATATAATCACAAGCCTGCAGTAATTTCTGCTTAAAAGAAAAAACACATTAGGACATATAAATGATCAAACTCATGAAGCAGTTTAAAGTTGAAGGAAGCTAATGCAGAACTATGAAGAAAAAAAAGCCTGATCCGTTTTCTGATGAGGCCTCGCAAAGATCACTTCCCGTCGTGACAGATTCAGGCTGAAGTGAGCTTCTCAGCTGTCAGGGTGCATATTAATGGATATGTAGCTCCTTTTTCTGTGCAGATGGGAACTCCTCAGCACACAAAGATCCTCTGAGGGTGACAGCACAGTAGTCTGGAGCTGCTGCTCATTCAACATGACAGAGCGCAGATGGCAGAGTGAGGGGGAGAAACGTGGAGAGGAAACAGAGACAGGAGTAGATTGAATTATAGAGCTGGTGTCAGAGTAGATTTTGGTTACAGTGCTCACAGAGCTTCAGGGTGAACACTTCGCTGTAAGGAAGGACTGATCTTTCTGCGGCTGCAGTCGATTAACCGGCCGCTTGTTCATCAGGCCTCCCATCTGGCTCAGGCTGCTCGGTTTCTGCTCACGCTGCCCGGATCTGCCCTGAATGCAGAGCAGCGGACGGCGTGATGGTAACGCACCCTGAACCTTGCCCCATTCAGAGCCCGGCTGGAAGAACGGAGAGGCCATCTGAAGTTTGCAAAAGAATCTGCATGACTGACGATAGCTCTAATGTTCATTACTGTGGTGCATTTTCATTTTATCCTTCCTCATACTTCTGCTCCACTACATTTCACAGGCAAATACGGCGTCTTTGAATATCTTTGACAACAAGTCATCTGCTGCTCTGGTTGAAACTCCACATTAAAAACACATAACATGCGAACAGATGGTCTTTCAAGTACATCCTTGTAAATCGGTGCATCAATAAAAAGTTTGTATAAGTAATTCAGTTTAAAAAGTCAAAGTCATTTTATACTTATCTACACAGTAATATTTTTTGAAGCATTTACATGTATTTCCAATGTTGATGGTTTCAAGCTGAGGAGTATGAAATCAAATGTGTTCCCAATTTCTAATTAGAATGGGTTAATAAAAAAGCTTTTTCATTTTTAAATGAAGCTGCATTTGACTTAGAAATAAGAATATTTTATTAAGGTTTGGATTATTCATTATTAACTTCACTTTTAAGTCAAAAATTGAAGCTTTAAAAAAAAATCCTTTTATTTAGTTCATCTTAATTAGAAAAGTGAAAATCACATTTGCTTCCATGGATGACAAATAAGCAGCTCATATATTTCTTTGAATGTAAATGAAAAATTAAACAGAAGGAAAAGGTGTAGCTGCTTGTGCCATAGCTTTAAAAGCTGTAACACACAGATAGATATTTAGTGGGGATATAAAGAACTTGCTTAAAACAAGAATAAATAATTATTCATTATTTTCAGAGGAAAGGCATAAAATTGTGATTTTCAAGAACGAAAGGTATCTTTAACTCTTCCATAGAGGTTATGTTTTCTGCCACATTTGCTCGTCTGTTAGAGGGAATATTTGAAAAGTTATGAATGAATTTCAATGAAGTTTTTACCAGAGGTGCGCCTTAATGCCAATTAACAATGCATGAAATGTTGGTGATAATACAGATCAGAATCTAGATGCAGGAAATTGTGAAAGGAGTCTTTTAGATTATTTGGAAGAAACCAGAGGTGGGGAACAGCAACTACTGACAGCTGACGGAAGTGAAGAAAAAAAACACAAAACTGGGAAGCCATGACTCGCTGCACTGGAAAAATCTAGAAATAAGTGAAATATTTCTTAAATTAGGTGTATTTACCCTTAATTTTGAGTAAGTAAATAAGATTATTTGCCAATGGAATGAGTATTTTTACTCTTAAAGTAACATATTCAGATAAAATGCACGTGAAATAAGACAATGCAATTGCGTTTTCTTATTTCAAATGTAAATTGTCTTGTTCTATTGGCAAACATGTCTCTTTTACCTTCTCAATTCAAAAACAAATGCACTTATTTTAAGAAAAAAATTACTTATCTAGATTTAGAAGACTCAGCCTGCTGATCAAAGAAGAGAGCAAAGCGAATAGAGAAGCTGGGAGCAGAATCAGACTCCAGACACAGCAGAAATACATTGTGGCTTAGTTAGAAACTGGATAGAAAAATATTTTTTAGGAAATTGTTACCAAAGGTGTGACTCATTCCAAAGAACAATTTGTAAACTTGATAATGATCCAGATCATGAGTATGTTTTTGGTATAGCCGTAAATCCACAATATGGTGTAAAATTAGCTTCTTGGCACGGAAGGATGCAGTCCGTGATTTTCTTCTTTTAACTAGAATATCATCTGAAGTTACATTTCTCTGTGTTGTTCTACAGCCTCTTTTGCAGTTTCCGCCGGCCATACATACATGTTCGCCTTTGTGAACTCCACCCCTGAGAGCTTACCTTTTGCCTGCCTTTAAAAGGCAACCAGTACACTGCAAAAACAATCCAGAAATAAGTACAAAATCATTAAATTAAGTATATTTACCCTTAATTTGAGCAGGTAAATAAGATGATCTGCCAATGGAATGAGTATTTTTACTCATTCCATTGGCAGATAAGATAGTTAGATAATATTTACTTGAAATAAGACGATAAAATAGTTTTTTCTTATTTTAAAAGGAAATTGTCTTGTTCCATTGGCAAAGTGTCTTAAAAACGCACTTATTTTAAGAAAAAATTACATATTGAGATTTCTATTTTTTGCAGTGTACAGCATAGTGTAGGAGCTATCAGCACTACACTAAAGACGACATATTTATCCTTTGCAGATATGCCCATATGAGGTGACAGATAAAAAAAAAATGGGGTTGAAACTAGAGAGGACATAGACTGGGAAGACACTTGGTACACATCTTATTTTGGTCTACAGACAGTGCTCAGGTAGTTGTAATTTTTTGAGCCATAAGTCCAAACTAATAGCAGCGGCCTCTCAGGACATGTTTCCCCTGCTGATAAACTTCATTTTACTGGTTTAGTTTTCCAGCAATGCTTTGTACCGCTCTGCCCTGCTGAGAGTGTCAAAATCATATCACTTTGAAACAAGAGTATTCTTGAAAGTTAGAGACAATCAGTAAATTTTAGATTCTTAACAGTTTAACATTGTTTTTAACAACACTTCTGCTGTCAATTCACTCAATAAAGCCTCTATGAATCTGTTATGAGTCTGAAAGAACAGGCAATGATGCTAATGTATCCGCTAAGCAGATGAGAAGCAGCACCAACAGTCACCTTCAAAATAAAAGCATTAAGCCCTTTAGTGCCTTAAAAACAAAGAGAGCACACATTTAGGGACAATCAAACATTGCGGACTAAATCGAAAAATTGCTTTCTTCCTCCTCCATCTCTCTATGATGATTTTGTTGATTAGACTCAGTTAAGTTTTTTACTCAAGTAAAAGTACAGTTTTTAAAAGTACTTAAAGTATAAAAGTAAAAATAATGCAGGTAAAAAGGTAAAGGACAGATGATTTAAATCTTATACTGGTTACTGTAGAAAAGTAAAGTTATTTGACGCCTCTGTGAGAGACTCACCTGGCCAGGTTAAAGGCATCGTCAATGAGACCTGCTCTGTTTCCAACAGAAATGATCTGGAAAAAAGACAAAACAAGCCAGCTATAAATCATAGTGATTTAGCTGATAGGTCAGTTTAAAAGAAATGGTTTAAAATGAGGCAGAAAAAAAGGGAAGGTTTACATGGGGGTTGCTGTGTAGCTGCTGAATAAGCAGCTTCCAATTCTGGAGGTCATAGTTCACACGGAAGTAGCCAGTTTGGTTGATGTTTCCCAGCAGCCAGGCGTTGTCATCCATCTGACCAATCTTGTGGGTTTCTGTCAGGCAATGAAAACATTAAAATGATTATTATACAACATTTTTAAAACGCCATTTATCAAATATGCTGATGATATCTCGATGTACATTTTTTCCATCTAGACCAGCGGTCTGCAAACCCAGCTGCAGATATTACGCTATATTTAAATAAAACATAACTTATTATTTTTGTTATATCTGTAATAGGAAACCTGTTGTAATTTTTATTTAACAACAAACATATTGTTATCATTATCATATTTCAAATAATATCATATTTGTGTTTTGAAACCTCTACATCATCAGTGTGAAATTTCTATCCTTGAATAACCTGATAGAGTCAGCAGAAAATTCATAAGAAATTGCATGAAAATGCCTTTTAATGTATCGCAAATGGCACAAAAACTAATCTAATTCATATTTTTCTAAATAACTTTTTTTGTCAGAAAGTCAATGATAACTCAAGTTTTAAAACATTAACAAATTTCTCTCAATTATTCAAAAGCCCTTTAAAAATTTCACTATTAGGGGCCCCTGTAGAGGTTGCAAAGAGCCACTCCCGGCCTCGGAGCAGCTGGTTCCAGACATCTTATCTTGATGCCTCTTTCAAATTTGTACTAATGGAGCCTAGGTGGAATTTCAACTGAATAAACTGATTAATCGCCTTCATCCACCTCTGACACAGCTAATAAGCTTTGAACCAGGCCTCCACGACAGCCAAATCAGCATCCAGAGTTCCTCTTAAAAGGTCTCCAATCCACAACTTTATATGCTACCCAAGAGCAGGCAGTGGTTGCGAGGTGTCCGACTTGAATTTGCATGACCCTGTTTCCTCCTTCACTATCGTAGCAAAAGCTTCATAAGAGTTTCATTCCTCCCAGACTCTTTCTGCGTTCCCTGTCTCATTTCAACCGGTCCGGCAAAATACCGCTATGTTGAGCCTGGTTCTGCCAGAGGTTTCTTCCCAATGGGGAGTTTTTCTTGTCCACTGTCACTTCATGCTTGCTCATCATGGACAGGTTCTCGCAACCTGTGTTGTCAAAGCTGGACTTCCATCTTCAAGATCCCTGAGTGAAGCTCTAGTATCAGCTCACGCAGTCCATTGGATCTCTCATAAAGCTCAGCATACCGTCTCGCTAACCAGCAGTCTACAGACTGACCAGCTTCATCTATCTCCACTCCACCACCAGTTTCAGGCCTAGGGGGAAACATTCCTGTTCTTTACTCTTGTTCATGCATATCAATCAAAATTCAATTTTTTGAATTTTTTCAAAATTCTATGTTTCCAGCCGAGGTATGAGCGCCAAAGGCTAAAGTAATTGTATCAATAAGTTTCTTCTGATCGTTTTTTTTTTCTTTGTGAGTTTTTCAGATTGAACTTTATGTCCAACAACCGAAAAGATCCAAAAAGCTTCTCTACAGCAACCTTCATTTCAGACTTATTGATAAGATGTGGCTTGGAATACAGAAGGGTAAGAAAAAGGGTCAATATATTCTGGATGTGCTTAGACCAAGGAGGCTATAAATATAGTGAATGAGCTTTTAAGTTTTGCTATTTACATATGATCTGCTCCCATAATCCATAAATTATCACAAATTATGAAATGCTGGGAATAAAATTACCCTAGTCTGAAATAGGGTTTAAAAAAACTAAGCATCGATTCAGCAGCTTCCAGAACCACACTAACTCTTATTAGTGGCTTTCTGTCTGATTTTATTAGCATCTCACAACATTGTGGTGGACATTTAGCATCACTCCTCTTTCCAATGTTGCTTCGGCTCATTAAGTTTTGTAGACATTTGTTTCTGCAGTGCGTTGCCTCTATATAAGTGTGTCAAATAATCCCTAGTGGATGCATTGTGTTAAAGTTCACCAAGGCAGGACAGATCAGCAGATTTAAACCGTCTGCCTCACAGTAAATCAGATTGTAAAAGGATCACTGAAAGTCAACCATTGGCCTGACTCTGCTGGTTTAGCTTTTTAAGCATTAATGAATAATGATGTTTGCTCCCGATTAGAGTCATTTAATACATTGGTCCCTTAGTAGAGGAGCTATGGCATCATAGGCAATTTAGGCAGCTTTAAAGAAGAGGCTGTCTCTATCAACACTTCAAACTAAATACCTGTTGAGTGTTTAACAAACCATCCTTTGATAAAATGGTGTGTCCATACTAAATGGAAAACATTCAAAAAGAATTTCCAGATTCTTGAGCTTGGGCTTGCCTGAAAATTCGCCAGAAATTCACCTGGTGAGCGACAGCAATTCGCACAACTCTGGTGGTCATCGGTTTCAACTCAACATGGCATACGTGGATTTTATGGAGCGAGTGATTTATTTTTTTGGGAAAGTTGAACAAATCTGCTGAAACCTGGATCCAATAGACCCTCCAGAAGAGGGACTAGAACTGGGACAATCCGGTTGGCTATGATCCCTCTGGAGCTAAGGAACCACAGTGGGAGATCAGAGGAGGAAGGCGGCAAATAGGGGAAGCCAATCAAGCAGAGCGAGCAGGAGAGAGCTGGCGGCTGATGGTCTCTGAGCTGAAGCTAAAGGTGGACGTGGAACACTCCTTCTAGGACTAACTATTAATTACATTCCCTACTTCTCTATCTTCCATTTCACTTTAAATAAGCTTGTTTCTTTGTCTTCTAGTCCTCCATTGGTTTTTGCGACGCAAATATTTACAAAAGTTCAGAGTTGTAAACTCCTGAAAGTATCTCTCTGCAAAAACTTGCCTGTTGCCTCACTCCAGGTTATAGCTTACATAGGGAGTAAACAGGCCTTAACAGTTAACCTGCGAAATAATGTCTTAGACAACTTTTTCTCTTTTGGTACTTTGTCAAAGCATCAAAGCGTCTGAACCTGGGCTAAAGTTTTTCCTCTTGCAAACAGTCTCTTGCTAGCTGGACGTACCATTGGCATTTTGGTCCGACAGCCTTAAAACGCACCAGTCCAGCAGCAGCTGCCTCATCTACACTCAGCTTCTACACTCTGAGCATGGCTGATAAAACAATGCAGCAGAGATGCAGGAATCAGCAGTATTTTGAAGAAGTAGTGTTGCTCCGATACCGATACCAGTATCGAGCGGGGCCCCGATCCAGCACTAAAATGGTGGTATCAGTATCGGCGAGTACCAACAAATAGGGCATCGATACCTTTTTGAGAGCCAAAAGTTTATTCAACTATTGTCACCCATTCCAGGTAGGCAATAAAAAGTTTTCCTGGATTCACTTTGTATTAGTCTTTTTCCTGCTTCACAAAGGTAGGCAGCAGCTTGACAAAGCCATGATGGCAATTATTTTACATCCAAGTAGGATGCAGTTCTTTATATATACACACACATCCATTTCAAACAGATGGTATCGGTATCGGCCAATACACAGCCAGGTATCGGGGCCATAAAAAGGCATTGGAGCAACACTAGTAGGAAGTCTGTATATTGTGCTGAAATCAGGTTTAAAGCTGATTCAAAAAGACCAAGCTGTTGGTCTGAGTCTGTCTCTCCTCCTCTAACTCCCCATGTTGTCCTTGCTTCTTTACATTCCTGTCAGATCCGTGATGTGGAAATTACCCTCGTCAGGCTTTAACAACACAACCAGAGTGGTTCTCAAGTTGGGTGAAGTTTATTATTGGAGGACAGAAACAGCAGGAGCTCTTTTTCCACCAATAATAACAACCAAGCAGTTTGATTCAAAAAAAGAATTAAAATGAACTTTATTCACCAAAATAGAACCCCTGGAGGCTTTTCTTCAGAAAAACAATAATAAAAGAAAACAACAAGGGATTTTTTGTTTTGTTTTGGTTTTTCATAGTTAAGAAGAGCAGGGTTGATTAATCCAAGCTTACAAATGATTGATCAAATCTTTTCACCAGAAATGACCTCTTAGAAGAAGGGAAAGAATAATCCTTTCAAAGGAACAGAAGTAACTCGCTTTTAAAAGAACATGAAAGGAAAAAAAAGCCATCAGGATTTTTCTTTTGAAATAAAAAGCAAGAGCCAAATCTAAGGAGGCATAACGATGTTTATTCCCACCACCTACAGAGCAACAAAGCCAACCTGTGAACTCCAGCTTTAATACTCCATTAAAAGCAGCTCGCATGTGCAGAGCTCAGCAGATAATTAATTTGAGATCCTGAGCTGGTTTGATCCGCAAGCAGATCCTCCCCAGGAAACAGCCTGTCAGCTCAGAGGAACAAGATCATTTACACATGAGTAGAAATAAACTTCCAGAGATGTCGGCCTGCATCTCCGGCGCCACCTCACCTGTCCTGTTGTTGATCCAAATGAGGCTCTCCAAGCAGACAGTGGAGCTGTTTCCCACGGCGACGGTCAATGGGACCTGCCACTGTAAACTGCAAAAAGAGAGAAGGATGTTAGTGATGGTCAGTGGGATTAGATTGGGTTTTATTGCCTCCGTTATCGGAGGAAGCAGCGTTAGAAGCAGAGTGAGCTTCATCAGTCAGCTGGAAATGAGGCGAGTGACACTCAGAGGCAGCGTTAGGGTGTAATAGCTGCAGCAGGCTGCGGATATCACTCAGGGGGAAAACTACTGATGATCCGCGTCTCTTTCGGGAAATCTGAGGAGTAAAAAAATTAGCTAAATATTTTCACAGCTTCTTAGCAAATCACTTAAACTTTAAAACTCCATTACTGAACTACAGCTAATTAGAGCTGAATCGATCTTAAACCCACCTAACTGTATTGAAGAGTTTGTTTGAGTGTTAAGTGTTAAATCAGAAATTCAACAAGAAGGAAAAAAAAAACTACAATCTAAATACTAAAATAAACTGAATAGGTAATGAGTTGTGTTGGATTTGGAGGCACCGGAGTAAAGAGTGTTTTAAATAAATAGAAAATCCTTGTTTGAAGCTGTAACCTAACAAAGCATGAAGAACTTTGGGAGGTATAAATATGTTTGTACGGCCCTGTAGAAAAATCAGGTCAACTATTTTGTTTTTGTGCAGGTGAATTAGACTACTGATACGTGAAAAAAATAATTTTCTATCTAAAATTGGATCCACAGAGATGAAAACAAAGGAGCATTTAGTGGATTTTTGCCTCAGTGCCTCTCACAAAGTGGTTCTGTAATTATGTTGAAGGCTGTTTATGAAAATGGGAGATCCTAAGCGTCACTTCTGTTATTGAAAATTGACAGATTAGACTTTGACTGTAATTTGTTTAAGCGCATATTTTGTTTTTACTTGAAAGGATATGCTTAAAAAAAAGAAAAAGAAACTACTGAGTATAAAAAGTATAATCCAAATTGTATAAATTCATTCCATCTATTAGTTTTTGAGAAAAAAAATAATTTCTAGACTATAAGACGGTACTTTTTCACAGGCTTTGAACATTCTGACTACTTATGAATTATTATGGGCTGATGAGCTACATGCCACCAAAACGTTTATCCAGGTGGCAGTAGACCAATAAAAAATGTTGAAATCAAATTGAGCAAATTCACATTTAATACCTCAGATCAGTATTTTGCTGGTTCATGCAAACACATCCATGAAAAAAATACAAAAGCATAAAAGCTTTTAAGTTGAAGGCGATCCATCTGTCTGCTTTGCATCAGTGAATTGATGGTGTGATGGAACCGATTTGATGCAAAAACAACACAGAAGCTTTCAGAAGTAAGAAAAGCAGGTATCCTTTAAATAAAAATAATTATTAAAGAATGGGTGAAAACACAGAAAGCCAACAGCCGAAGTGTTTTAACAGTGTTGATCCAACTGAAAGCCAAATTAAAATGTAAGATTAATATCATAGAGGGGGACCCTAAAGGTGTTTCATATTCATGCGATTAAAAAAGGTCTATTCATCAGGGATGTAAAGATTGTTTCTGAAACTCTCCACCAACAATAAAAAAAAACTTGCAAACTTCCCTAAATTCATTCAAACAAAGGCAGCAAAGAATTCAGTCTGACAGTCTATGATGTGGGGCCCATCATAAACCCGTCAGGGCAACCATGGAAACTGAGGACAACATTAGTTGAGTGCCAGTTGGGTTGCCCAAATGGGCCCAAAGTATTAGCCCTGGTATCCCCCATTTGGGCCACACATTCAAAGGCGAAGAGTCCACCATGCCTAAAACAACGACCTGTCTTTGTTTGGTAAAGTGTAAATGGCCTGTACTTAGTGCTTTTTCAAGTCAGGAGACTTAAACCGAATACTTTACATTCAGTCGTTCACCCATTCACTCACACACTGATGGTGGCAAGCTACATTATAGCCACAGGTGCCCTGGGGCTCACTGACAGAAGTGAGGCTGCTGTACAGTGGCGCCACCCAGCCCTCTGACCACCATCAGTAGGCAATGCAGGTGAAGTGTCTTGCCCAAGGACACAACGATACTGAAAGCCAGAGCCGGGGCATGAACCATCAACCTTTTGATTTCAGGGCAAACTCCTACTTCAGCCCACTGTCGGCTTTTTGTTTGGCTGCTTCCCGCTCAATGCTGTGCTCCACTTCGTTAATTAGAGTGGGCAGATGCACCTGCCTCTCTCCTAAGCCCCCTCAATCCTCACACACTGCAAAAAGGGTCCATCTAACCAAACCTAACCATCTTTGATCAAGCCAAAAGTATTTTATTTTTTTTAATCTTTTTTTGAAATTGATAAACTAAGCAAGAGTAGATTCTTTTAGATTATTAATCTTTAGGTAAAAAGTTGGTGAGACTTGTATCATGATTTCAAGAAGTCTTACCAAGTTCTTCTTATAACACCAAAGAGAAAACGTTTCATTGTAGATATTTCACTTGATTTCATTTTCTGATCTCCGCATGAGTTCTTCAACTAAAACATGAAAATAAACCAACGTTTCCTCATGTTTTTCCACCAGTTCCTACTTCGTGCAGCAGCCCAACTTCAAACAGCGCGTCTATTGTATCCCAGAACTAATGGCACCATTAAAATGGCTGTTAACATTAAATTCTTCTCACTTCCACTAAAAGCCAGTTTTATAATTAAATTCATTTTGATCAGACTCAGTTAGATTTTAATTAGAAAGGACGTTAATTAGAGGTTAAATACAATCAGCTTGACTCGCTTACATCGGTTTCACAGATGTGTGTTTATATTTTCAGTGTGAGAGTAATTGTACCCAACGAAAAACGTCTTTTCCTATAACAGCTGTTTGTCGCTGCAGGCGGTGGAGGATCGATACGGCTGCCAGGCTGCCAAATATTCAATCCTCTATTCATATTTGAACAACTGACAAGAAGGGATTCACACGCAGTCAGCTGCATGGACAACTGAATACATTTATTAATATTTATGAGCGCACACGTCCTTAGAGTTTATAATTTATTCATCAAAGGCATAAAGCAACTGGATATATAGGAAGCAAAGAAGCAGGAAACCATTAATGCATATTTCTTCATTTAAAACACTACAGATGGCTGTTCTCTACCCAGCCCCTGCTGCTCCTCATCCCCGGGTAAAACACACATTGACCTCGTTTATACATTTGCTTTTATGTGTATTAGTAAGACAAATCAAAGCAAAAGAGGCAAAAAAAATAACTTTTTTTCTGGTTGTTGTTAGTTTTAATGTTGCTGATTTTGACATTAGTACATTTTCCATTAGAAGCAGGCGATTTAACCATTGATTAAAGGAAGGAAGTATCCACTCCAAAGGAGGTTAATGTGCCAACATGATGACCTTTCTGACAGAACTACTAGTTAATCACATTTTTTTAAGTTATAGTAGCCATATCCACCACTGGTTTCTTCCATATCTGTAAAATTAGGAAAACAAAGAAAACAGAACCTGTCTCACAACTAGATGTAGGCCTCAGTATTAAAAAACAAAAAAGAAGTCACTCATTTGAGAAGAGAGGTCACGATTTGACAGCAAAAAAACAAAACACACTAGGTAGAAAGTGCCTACAAGGGAGAGCGCCGAGACTTGAACCACAGATGACCCAAAGAACCTAAATTCACCGCTTCACTTTTACCAAGAAAGACCACAGATTTAATGAACATATTTTGAGGACTGATGGAGATAAAAGTAAATTTTGGTAACAGTGTGTCACATTAAATTTACGAAACAAAGAAAATAACACCAGTCAAATATGGTGGTGGTGGTATAATGGTCTGGGCCTACTCTCAGGACCTGGACGACTCTTTTAACTGGTGGAAAGTCCTAAAAGTCACTTAGTGAGCTTTAGCCGAAGGGCTAAAGGGTTAGTCATCCTTTTCACACTTTTGGGTTCCCAGCTAAGGTAAAGAAATAAAGCATATCGATAAAAAAAAAACCAACATATTAATGGATATCAATAATTATCTAAAAGATTCTAGACAGTTAATTCTCTGGTTCCGTTCTCTGTCTATGCAGTGAATTGAGAGGCTGAGTTAGGGCCCGGATGTGCAACTTGACCAGAGGTCTGACGTTATGACGTAGTAACACACAAACTGCAGCTCATTTTGCACTGATTCCCTACACTAATGGTACAAATTGGGGAGCCCTGAGTTAGAAAAAAAACTTGTGGTCCAGAACTTCGTATCGTGGATCAAGAGTGGCGAGCAGCTGTTTGAAGCCAGGTTTTTCAACTGCAGACAACAGCAGCATATCCATCAATAGGAAGCATGTTCCTGCGTAAATAATGTCCTTATGCCGCTTGGACGCTTTATCAAAAAGAAGGAAGCCCAGTTTAGCTTGCTTTGCCAGCTTTGTTTGAGCAGATGTTCCTAAAGATTCCTCTGATGACAAGGAACCCCCTCCGGGCCAACACAGCTCGTTCTCCATTGGATGAGAGCTGCTTAGATGATAAAACAAGTTGGTTATGTTACCAGACTTTGTCTGAAACCATTCTTTGGGACAATACCCTCTGCTTCACAGGCTGCAACTATCTTTACGTGGTCTGTGTTGTGGTTTCAGCGGATGGCGACCTACATAATAGGCTACAGTAAAGAGGAAGGAAAACTGTGTTTCTATATCAAACTTTTATCAACTCTCTTCTTTTTTTTTGACTCCACACATCTATTGATCTATATATATTGTTATTGAATTATCGTTCATGGAGCTCAGCTTCAAACCTATATGGGCAAATAATATAGAGCCATTCCTGACCCACACAAAAGCTAACATTTTAGTCAAGTTAAAACCTCTATTCTGTAATCACAACGTTCTTTTCCCTGTCTGACACCTTTAGCATCTGAGCCATTAATGCTTATATCAGGTTTGAGCAACCAGGCAGGTGAGCCTGTCTGAATTATTTTTTTTCTTTTACCAAAAAACTCATTTGAACCCGGGAACAATCTGCTTTTATTGGCAGTGGGAACAGCACACTGACCCTTGTCTACCCGGCTCTGATCGGCATAATGTGGGAAAACCAGAGCAGGGTTGACCGACTAAATTCAAGATACCTTTGAGCGCAACGTACGGACGTCAACACACCACACCAGCCGCATCTTACATTCGATAAACATGCCGCAGCTCTAGTCAGAGGGATTAAGAGAGATAAAAGAGTGAACAATGATGCACACTGACTATGCCGTGGCTTCCTTAAATGTTGCTCTCCATTGTTTACTTTCCTGATTTCTGTTACACTCGATACATTATCAACGCTAACCAAAGCGTGATGGCGTCATCAGACACTCGGACGCGGGGGGAAAGATCAGCTCCCAGCGAGGGGTTAGACCCAGCTTTTATTGCCAGTGTTAGGGAGCCAAATGTTTAAATGATTAAAATGTTTAAAAAACCTGCGTTAACCTGGTATTTTCAAGAGGAAAGAGGCTTTTGTCTGTGTAGATCACACATTTCTCACAAGTTTGACAATAGAAACAATGGAAACTATTCAAAAATCACCATAGAAAGTCCAACCAAAGGGGATCTAATGTCCAGATAATAAAAAGCAAATTTCTTGTTTTTGTCTTTTTTGTAGAAGCAACTGAAAACAGAGATGAAGCATCTATAATGTTAAGATGAATACAGGCTGATGGCCAGCCTGCTTAGATCCTGTCTCTCTTTGAATCTTTAAGCATAAAAGACATTTTGGTAAATCCATAATTTTGATTATGTATCTTAAGGCAGATTTAAACAAATGAACCCTCCTCCAGCAGAAATCCAATTTTGTTTTAGCCTGAAAAAAGCCTCAGTTTTCCCTTGAAAGTTACATCTGCTTGGTGATTAAAGAGGAGGAAGCTGTCTAAGAAGCAAAAAGGGATTATAAATATGACTGAATATGAAACTAACTGGATTATGCTAATCGTCTGAAATGTTTATCTTGAGAGAATGTTTCCACAAAGCAGACAATATTTTACAAATATTCAAAGAAAAACTCCATGCAGTCATAAAAGCATTTAAGACCAGCATATATTACCTTAGTAATATGAATACTACTGGTTTTATGTTTTAATTGGTGGTTCTGGAGGTACTTTATCCCAGCAGTAATCAGTAGATGATATGCTCTTTCATTTTTAAACAATAAAAATAAACTTCTTTAAATAAAGGAAACAGCAGAACTGCTTTTAGAGTATTTTTTATTAATAAACACATATTGCCTCCTGTATTCTTATCTCTCTTTTTATAAATAAAACATGTTGGTCTACAGCAGTTATTTGAAACACTTAGGGAGTTTATTTAACTTTACTAAATCAAATTTACATTTTATTGGTATGAAGATCTAAAATGACCTTGTTCACAGCATCATGGTTTTCAGAAACATATATCAGATCGTTATTTCTACTTGTGTTTAAATTACTCCAGCCTGTTCATTTAAAACATCTGTTTTTTTTATCCAAAAACTAAAGAAAACTGTATCAAACAATCGCCAGGTGATTATTGTGCAGATGACTATTTTTTTACAGTCTTGCTCTTTCTGAGTAAAAAACTGACATCAAAGTTCCTAGAAGATTTGCAAATCGACAATTGAGACCACTACAAACTATTATGCTAATTTTTTTAGACATATATTGTATTATTGTTTTTATTTACCTTAATCGGATTTTATAATCTTGATGATTGTGAAGGTTTTTAGCTCTTTTAGATACGGTGGCCCAGAGGTGTCACCACTAATATAAAAGCCCCAACACAAATACAAGAGCCGCAACACAATTACAAAAGCCGCAACACAAATACAAGAGCCGCAACACAATTACAAAAGCCGCAACACAAATACAAAAGCCGCAACACAAATACAAGAGCCGCAATGTCTTTTTAAGGACTTTCTGCAGGAAGGAAGGGGTAAGTTTTTTACATAAATTAACTTACGTAGTTACTGATCTATTATTATATATTATATTATATTTTATTATATATTATATCTTATAATCTACTATTCTCCTTCTTCATTGGCTTTTCTGCTGCGTCAGCTTCTTCTTCTACTGTCATGTATAACGACTAACTGTTGCGTCACTTCCGTTGTAGTTTCAGATTTCCGTTGCGGCTATTTCCATTGTGGCTTTTGTAATTGTGTTGCGGCTCTTGTAATTGTGTTGCAGCTCTTGTAATTGTGTTGCTGTTTTGTAATTGTGTTGCGGCTCTTGTAATTGTGTTGCGGCTTTTGTAATTCTGTTGCGGCTCTTGTATTTGTGTTGCGGCTTTTGTATTAGTGGTGACACCTCTGGGCCACCGTATTTAGACCTTCAGGTAACACAGATTTGTGCCTTCAAACTCATATAACAGTAAGCTTAGTAAGGCTTGAAAATTTCAGTTTAGGAAAGTGAACATGAATTTAAAAAATGAAACTGTAAAAAAAAGATGGATGTAATACCAAAAAATTAACATTTTGCATTCTTTTCTTCTATTTTTGACTTTTTTTTTTTACTGCGGGCCCCTCGGCTGGGAGCTGGGCTTACATGATATCAGGCGTGTAGAGATAAATGGCAAACTATTCCCAGCGGCTGCAGTCAGGAACCTTTTCGGTATTATAATTTCTCCAAAAAGACGTGTTGTATGCTGACATAAACGGAGCATTTTGCCCAAGCACTTAACTTATCAGCCATTATTCCACATTTAGAATTATCTAAACGGAAAAGACTGGAATCTAAACTTTTTTTTTTTTACTTATTTAGTTTCAGCCAGAATTTTTTCTGTAAATAATATTTTTATCTTCAAGTAAAGAAGTTTTTGTCTGACAAATCACAGTAAGCAGTGCAATTCTCCAATGAAACATCAAAAAGGCCAGTTCACAGGGAAAGCATCAAATGAAGGCAGAATGAAGCCTTTTGATCTTTGATGATCCAAATATACAATGTTAGCATTGATGCTAACCGACCGGTCCACATTCTCACTGGTTAAACTGCATGATTACCTCCAACTTTCTGATTATTAGGGGATCTAACTTCATATTTTCAGCCCTTTTTCTGCAGCAACTTTAAAAGCAGCTTTGATGAATAAACATAAAAACAAGTAGAGCGAATGAACAGCATATGGCCTAGTTCTGAGCTTGTACACCGAGATGGGGCTTTGACTTGGACATGTAATCATCAGGAACAAATGTGTGAACTGTAAAGAATGCTGTAATTTAAGGCCTGGAAAAGAAAAGATAACGGCCCGTTTGACCGTTTCTAAAGCTTTGGACAGCTCTAACAAAAGTGGCTCTTCATAAGCTGCTCTTCGTCTTTCTTCTTAGCATAAACAGTTTCAGTATTTATTGTTCTATAAACCTGGTAACTGCAGCTGAATGCTTAATCTACCTCCAGAGAAAAAAAGGAGCTTCAACAACTGGATCTGATTTAGGCAGTTTTTAATACGATCAATAAAGGAAACATTTTCTTTTGGTGTGTTTCTGAACGCAGCTCAACTGACCCGGTCTTCTGGTGCTGGGTTTTAAAAGCACAGCAACAGTTTGTTTTCCAAAGGGTGAGGAAAACCTTGAGATCACCGAGGGAGTCCGAGCGAAGCTCTGAGAGACTCAAAGAAAGCAAATAGCGAAAAATCAGCAGCGCCTTAAAGAGACGACTTCGATTCAGCAGCTGACAGAACCTCAGGAGCAGCCCGAGTCGCACACTAAGAACCTCCATGAAAGCGGAGGAAACTTCCAGAGAGAAGCTGAACGGGACGAAGCGACTGTAAATGTCAGCTGCCGTACAGGAAGAAAAAAAGGATAGAAGATGTGAACAACAGGCAGGGAGGAGGAAAGGAGCTACTGAAGTATTGATGGGGGAGAAAGTGGGTCGATAAAATGCAGAAGAGAATAAACTCTGAAGATTGTCAAGGATTTGAATAAAACATCAGGGGAATAAAATATGAATGACACATAAATGATGGAGAGGTAGTAAAGGAGGTGAGGAAATGTTGAAAAAACAGGAAAAATGCTGCATGATCGGAAATGAACAAATTTAGAGCCTAATGCATCATGTAACATGGAGTTTTGAAGTTATCCTTTCAGTGAGTTTTCCAAACTCAGGTGAGTCTTTAAAACGCAATGTCATCCAAACTCTGACAAAGAGGACATTTACCAAACCTTTCCTGCAGGTTTTTTAGCAGGTTTTATTGTTTTTAATATTAAATACTAAAATATTCTCATTAAAAGGATAAACTGCATCAGAATGAACGACACAAAACTGCGATATTAACTGTGACAATCATTAGTGTTAATTCCTTTTTCTTCAAAAGTGTTAAGTAGTAAATATTTGTTCAGAGGCTAAAATAGCAGTAACAACACAGTTTGTTAGGTGTTTCTTTAGACACAAGCTCTGACCCCTAGATAGGAAAAGGCTGCCTGACTGGGCAGAAGGACTAAGATAGAGATGGAGAAAGGTTGGATAACGATGAAAGAGGTCTAAACCATGATTAGCCCTCAACATATCTCACTCATCTACAAGATTACAACAGCCTAAAAAAAGGGTTTTTAAACCAATTGACCTAAATTTTTGTCAAAAGTGAATAAAATATGTAGAAACCATTAAAATATGAGTCACTGATTGAAGCAAACACCCTCTTCTTCACCTGGTTTGCTAGTAAAAGATTGGGTTTTATCTATTCTTTTCTAGAAAAGTAATCTATGTGATTGTAAGTCACCTATTATGATAAAAACATGCATAAAAAGTTCCAAATAAATCTCTCCATTAACCTTTAAGCTCTTTAGACTTAACCTATTTGCCCATTTCTCGTTTCTGACCTGTTGTTTTTTCTGACTTCCTCTCCATACAGGAAGTGCTCCTGGGTGATAGTGATGTAATGGGTTGGCAGTTGCTCGGATTGGTTCTTGCTGATGGTAACGACAGGGTAGCCCATCTGTAGAGTCCATCTGTCCATCATCTCTCCGATGTCGATGTCCTGACCTTCTGAATGCATGGCCTTTAAACAACGACAAAGGAGACAGCAAACGTGGAAATTTGCAAAGTTAAGCAGACAAAGATGAGCAACCTTCAGGTTAATTTGATCGCTAATTGGTTGCTTGGAAATCTTGGGGTAAAAATAAACTTATCAGAAGGGATAGAAATTAAAAACTTCATGTTTGAAGGCCAAATAAGAAATCAAGAAGCTCCAGTTACCACGGCAACAATCTTTCTCCATCTCATCAAATCAGTCTTAACGAGCATCTCTCCGGCCTTCATTAGAATTAATTAAGGGCTTCATTGAGTCAGACTGTTCTCCATTCCTGTAGAGGACAGCGCTAAGCCCTGCCTTAAACCTTTAGGCCAAATGTAAGCAAGTCGGTTCAAAACCAGACAGAGTAAGACGTACCTTAGTTAGTTTGTTCCACAGGTCATCTCTCGCTGCGTTGCCGTACATGTGACTCAGTAGATAATCCTGAAGGAAATATGAAAGAAATCAGGATAATTTTTTTTACACCTGAGCTGAAAATCAAAAGTAGACATTAAGTTTGAGCCCAGGAGTCACATGACCTATAGACTTTGTGTTGATACTGGAAATGGTCAGTCAGAAAACTTAGCTGCTAGCACATAAAAACTGTCTGTGACAATACCTGCCAGTGTAAGGGTAAGAACAAGTCCAAAACAGGTCGGAAATATTAAGGAGGTTGACAGGACTTTTTTGTGTTGGTGGGTAACTTTACAGCATAAACCCCAAAAATCACTTTGTATCCTCCAAGCTCCCTTCCTAGGAACTATCCTATTTATCCTACCTAAGTTACCACAACTATGCAGACGACACACAGTTGTACATCACCATGTCACCAGGTGACAATGAACCCATTCCAGCTCCGGGTAAATACAGACAAGAAATGAACACATCGATCTGTCAAAATTTTCTTGAGCTAAATCATAGTAAATCTCAAGTACAAGTTTTTGGACCACAGAAAGTGTGATTAAAAGTTAGCGCCCAGCTTCAGTTAATCCAGCTACAACATCAGGCTCTAAATCTGGATGTAGTGATGGACTCAGGAATAAAGTAGTCCTTCTATCACCTAAAGGACATCTCCTGGATTAAAGGACTAATGTTTCAGGAGGACCTTGAAAAACTACCTCCTGCTTCGTTCATCTTCAGTAGCTTTGATCCCTGCAGTGGCGTCTTTAGCTGATCCAGAATGCTGCTGCCTGCATCCTAACTACAACTAAGAAAGTGGAGAGCATCAACCCATTTCTAAAGTCCTTCCACTGACTCCTAGTCTTTAAAATCAATTAATGGCTTAGCTCCTAAATACATTACAGACTGGCTGACAGTGGATCGACAGCCAGACCGCTGAGGTCCTTTGCCACAAATCTATTCTGCATAACCAGAGGCAGAACCAAACAAGGTGGAGAAGCCTTTAGAAATTTAAAAATCAGTTGCTTTAAATGGAGATAAAAAAAACACATTTGCTTAGAGTGGCATCTTAAGATTACTAGAAATGTTTCCAGTCCAACCTTCATTCCATTTTTTTAACCATAAGATTTTTTAAATTCTGTTTTCAATTAGTTTATCTTTATTTTTAAGCAATCATCCTATTTTGATGTTCCAGTTTCATTCTTTGTATTACATCTATAGAAATACAATGTACTTTCCTTTTTGTTTTCATGTACAGCACTTTAAATTGTCCTGTCACTAAGATGTGCTTTATATATAAACTTTCCTTGTCTATTGCAAATGATGATTTTATGGAGTTTAAGGAAAATATGGGATGTTAAGTTTTAACCAGATTAAACTGTTAACATCAGACAACAAAGCATGCTAATACTGTTTAAGATTTATAGAATGTTTTTTGGGTTTGAAATAAACTCAAAGATTAGAAAACTGTTTCATTGATTATACCAAGTTATTTAATTAATTGATGGTCTAATGGGACATTTGATTGTCAAGGATAACTTTGCTTAGGGTATCATTAGAGTAATTTATTTATTGGTTTTGATAGCTGCAGACAGGGGAGCTGTTATTTCTATCTGCTAGGTAGATCAGACCAAGACAGTTTTAGCTCATGACCCCTGATAATCTAAAGTAGGCAGTACAGAGACATATTATTTTATTACTACAGCCCCTAAAGAAACTAAATGTCCTTGGAGGCACCCTAGTTTACTGCTTCCTCATCTATTTTTGTTTTGTTTTTCCAGATGATCAAAGTTAGCTCTTGCCAGGCTGTCACTGCTGCTGCTGTATTTCAAGACATCTTCATGCAGCTGACGGCCCCTGAACACGTCTCTGTGATGGAGCTGTGAGCGAGTCAAAGCAACAGGCAGCAGAGCTCATTTATTATGACTTCCCTGTTTGAGGAAATCCGCAGCAGCATCAAAGTTATCTGCTTTGTTCACCGTGTGCAAACTCTTCCACTGAGCTGCAGAGTTTCAGCGTCGCCTCTCAAACAACGAGCTGCCAGTTTTAATCATCACCGATTCAATGCTTGGATTTGTAGAACACACCAAAACAAGAAACGTCTCATCTCTGCTGCATCAAACCACACTGTGAATAAAGCAGTTATTGAATAAGACCTGCTTCTTCTTCAGTTATAAGTTGGGGCATAGACAATCATAGTGTAAATAGCACCTCCTACAGACAAATGACCAAATTTGAGCAACGCAAATGAAGCAGTGGCAGGTTTTGGCTTTAAACAGAACAGCGACACTGATCATTACCCACTTTGAAGGTAAGCATTTAGTTTATACTTTTACTGTGAACCATTAGGACTGTAGTTAGTAGCTACTGTGTGGTTAAGATCCTGAGTAGAAAATGATTGACTACCTACAAGGCTAGTCAGCTTTTAAGGGCCAGTCGTAGCCATATGTGGCATGTTGCACAGGGTGGCGCACCAGCCTGAGCAAGTGCTATCGCTCTTAAAAGTTGACTCAGAAGTTACTGTTTCTTTTCTTTGAAAAAAAAAAACAATAGCCATCACACCGTTAACCACCGGAAATGGAGAGAAAAAAGAGGAAGAACACTTGATGCCATAGATGATGAATGTTTGCATGAAGTACTGAGAAAACAAACAAGATATTACATGTTATGATGTCATTTGCCTAGACTTACGATCCCCTGATTGAAGAGTCATATAAATCACAGTGCTGTATTAATAAAGCACCTTTAAATTTTTCCACAATAAAAGTTGACCTGACATTTTAACTATACAAAACTCAGAGGTGGACGACGAGGTACAGCAATGTGAATGGGCGCATTGGGATGCACTTTCTCCCGTGTTATATAATTGAGGCTATATGATAGATGTGATTATGTTCAAATCACGGATACAATGCCTGATATCTCATTCTAAACACTGCGTTCCCACTACTTTAAAATAGGACATGCAACAACTAAAGGGCTCGCAAGATTAAGTCTCTCCTTTTAGAGGACCCAGATATCCCACAGTAACAGACAGATTTGTAAAAACAAGTTCTCCTGCAAATAAACAAAGAACAGCGCAAGCTATCTTGAAATGATACACAAAAGACTGCTGTTATGTGTTTTTTTTTTAAGCTGCAATCATCTCTTTGTATGGGCCAGCACAGCCATTCTTTATAACTTGGATCTTTCAGCTTCAGTCTTTTTCTGCAAAATATTTCCTGGAATATTTCACTGGTTTTCTATCATCTTTAGTTCATGGCAGCACTCTGGCCATTTGAAAACTTTACATTACTCTCATGAGCTAACCCTATGTAGATTTTTCTCTAAGCTAAATGCTGAAGTGTATTTGGAACAATCTGTGACCTCGAGATGAAGTCTACCTCCATCGAAAGAAAGGTAATCCTAATGCCGGATGCTGCTGGCGCCTAGCCTGGTGAGACCATCCTGATCTCGCGAGCTTTCAAGATTTCACTCGCTAATCAGTCTGGAGACTCTCCGTTGAAGAAAATTTGGAGCCGTTCACCAAACGAACGTCCAATCAGCGTTGGCTTTGAGGCGGGTTGAGGTGTGACACAAAGAGAAGCGCGACAGTTCAGTCTAAAGAACATGGCGGCTTCAGCCGATGAAACTAGCGTTAGCGTGGCTATCGAGCAAGTTTTATCGGAATTACAGAGTATTTCTTCACTGAAAGAAGAGCAAAACACTGCTCTGGGGGCTTTTCTCAGAGGAAAAGATGTTTTTGCTCTTCTCCCGACTGGTTTCGCCAAGAGTTTGATCTATCAATTGGCTCCTCATCGTCGTCGCTCTGTTCTTTGATCTGATTGGTTTATTTGGCCCGTCTATCACCAACATAGGCCAATCAGCTAACCAGTATTTTCGCCCCTTCCCAAAATTACTGCAACGGAAGGTTTCCAGATGGATATGCGGAGCAAATCCATCTGGCGGAGTCAGGTTAGCTGGCGCCATGGTCAGACATGTTTAATGTTTCTGCAACTTTATGTTTAATTCTCCAGATCCTCCATAATATCTTTAGCTAATAGCTACAAATCTGGAAATGGCTATCAGGAGAGATTTTAGGGTGATTAGAGCATAGAGCTTGGAATCCTGAAGTTCTGAGTTCGAGCCCCACTCCCACAGACTGCTACTCTGGTTCTTTGATTCAAAACCCTTAACCCCACACTGCTCCCCTGGTACCCCATAATGGCAGCTCACTGCTCCCCAAGGGGATGGGTTAAATGCAGAGGTAAATTTTTCCATTGTGAGATCAATAAAGTTTAATTAGTTATTAGTATTTTATGTGATATTTTAGATCACAGGACCCAAAATCTCTGACTTTAAGTATCTTTCGAAAAATCTACATGTAAACATACCTTAATCAAAACGTTAGGATGTACTCGGCAGAGTGAAAGGTGAGCTCAGGTGTGGTGGACATCAAAACATTTCTGTCAAGATCTTGGTGCTGATTTGTGGTCTGATTATTTCTTTCACCTGCCTAGCTCCGGCCACTTCTCATTACCGTTCATCTGATCCACCTACTTCTGCCTCTATTCAACCAACCTTCAACCAGTCATCGTGTCCGATTACTTGGGCCTTTGGTCAGAGTTCTTAAACATTCCTTATTATTTACTGATTACCTGATCTTGACCCGTTCTGCCTCTGGACTATTGAGCCTGCCTGTCCCCATTCTGATCTGTTTGTCTAACTTGTCTTAGGACTCCTGCTGGATTTTTGCCTGTCTGTATACCGAACTTGGAACCGTTTGCCGACAATACCCTGGAACTCCCTTCAGTACCTCTTTGGGTCTCTGATCTCCTGGAACACTAACTTTGTCTTCTTCCTCTGAATTACCCTGATGTCCTTCGTCTGCATGTTTCTGATCTCCTGCCTGTCCTCCGACCTCCGGGGCTTGAGTGTCTAGGACTCTCTGGGTGGAGTCCGCTGCGTCTTGTCTGCTGACGACAGGCTGGATCCAACCTCATCCTCTGAACTTTAAGAACTTTAAGACCAGGTTAATGACTCACACCTTCATTATTATCCTCATC